AACACCGAGGGTTGCGATCCCGTTACCGGTCAGTAAAAAGGACAAAAAGGAAAAAAAAAAAGAAAGAAAGTCTCTCCTTTCTGCTTTCCTACTAATTCCCAAAAGTCTTGTAAGGCTAACTCTAATTCCATGTTCTCCCTGAAAGCATCCTAACCACTCTAGCTGGAAGTGATCTTTCTCTGAATCCCCACAGTGCCGACTGTCTGCACTGCCACGGTTCTTAAGCACAGGAGAGCATTAGATTGCACGCCCAGTCCCATTCCCAGAGATTCTTACTAAGTAGACCAAAGCACAGTGGTCAGGGCATGGGGCTGAGGCCTCAGCAGAGCACATATTCTGTTCTGTCTAGTTCACGTGGTAGCATGCCTGGGTCAGGGCCACATCTGACTTCTACAGGCAGATCTCAAGTCCTGCCTCCTCTTGATCCCCCTCTCTTTTGTGAGGTTCCCTTTCAGCTGGATGAATGAGTATGTCTGTTTCATAACCTTAGAGGTGGGTCTCTATCTACGCTCGGAAAGAAGCAATAGAAAGCCTCATTTTAGCTTCAGATATAAACCATGTTCTCTGACACAATACTACTCCAATCGAGCAGATAGTCTGATTCTCCAGGTGATTCCTATCTCTTGACTTAATAGTTACAGATGCCAATTTGGGGGGAGAGGGCAGGAGGAAAAAAATACCATCTTCTATCACTAGAATTTCATAAAAGAAAGGACATTTTAAACACCAAAAAAGTCGGAATAACATAATTTCAGGACAACAGATAATCCTTTACATTAAATAAATTAACTTTCGTGGGAAAACTGAGGATTATGGCTTATTTTTCTCATTTCAATGTTTGCTTTCATGTGATGTGAGAATTTCTACACTAGACTGTGATTTGGTGTCTAATAAATCTGAAGCAATCTATAATTCAGCACAGTCTTTCAGAGAAAGGTTAACTTATTTGTCTGAGAAGACAGGCAAATTGTTTTCTCTGTGTCCAGAGATGTCCATGTGACATTTTGCATTACCGAGTGTAATGCAAAATACATGAGTTTTGCTGGTGTTGAATCTTTCCACTACTTTTTCTTTTCTAGCTCTTCCCATATTAGG